ACGATGTGACAAAGTGGAGCCATTCTCGAAGGCGACCAGCAGTTTCCGTATCAAAGGGCCCCGCTCCATTACTCACGACATGCAGAAAAGACAAAAAATATGGCGGCGCATCTTCCCATGTTCTAGCGGAAGATTCATTCTCAGTTTGCACATTTAGTGAGTAGTGGAGCGAGGCCCAAAGACCAGGGAGCACGGTCGCTGATCGGTTCCATATATGGTCTGGTGCAGTGTCCAGATCCCGCCCCTCGACTGCCTCCACAAGTAACTGCAGCCCTCCTCAGCTGGGTGCGGATTCCTGACGTCAGACAACAGAAATCAGCTATGGCCGAGAGCGTTTCAGGCGTCCCTCAGCACGCACTGCACAGCACGCGCATGTCCCCAAGTGCCCCGCGCTGGGCCATGGCCATGCCTGCAGCAGGTTTTAGCATGGCATACTAAGGGCGAGATCCCACTAGCAAAGAGATTGGATTGAAAACCTGAATCTGGACGTGTTTGTGGAGTTGTGCAGATCATTGTGATTGCTCTGCTTTCCTGCATCGCGACGTGAAAACAAATCCAGATTCAGGATCTTAGTTCAATCTTCTTGGCTAGTGGGATCTTGCCCTAATAATGCTTCTAGCGAGCTCCACTGGCGCGAGTCCCTGCTCTGCCCAAACGCCGCCCGTGTTCCCCCCAAAAAGGAGGGACTTGATCTCCTCCTGTTTCTTTGGATTCTCACTGACTCATCAGGGGCACGGTCCCATTAGCAGGGGGATAGGGTTTAGTGTAGAGAATTAATTAACACATGTGACCCTGTGAACACCGTTCATTCTTTTCATCATGCATCTGCGGTATTTCGTTTTTTTGGTGTCTTGTCAGCAAATTCATTTGGTGGCCCTCATTCATCATCACTTTTAGGTTTTCGTTTTTAGTACTGTTGACAATCACACAGGCGAGGTCCCACCAACGCCTGAATCTGGACGTGTTTGTGGGGAGTTGCAGAAAAGCGCAATTGTCCGGCTTTTCCGCATCTCTGCATAAAATATGTCCAGATTCAGGGAGCTTAAACCACCAGTACTTGGCCCACTAATGGCCGCGGAAAATAAATAGAGTAGAAATGTTTCTAGTCGGATGAATTTGGGCGCCGCTCCTGTCGTGGCCCGTACGTTTCCTAAAGTTTTGTGGCTTGTTAACGGGCAACGACTTTAGGAAGTACTGGTGGTTTAATCCAATCCTCTTTGCCAGCGGGACCTCGCCCCAGGCATTACCACTCCCTGTCCCAGTGAGAATGACGGTACTCGCTGTCCCAGTGAGAACGACGGTAGAGAGCAATGCCGGTGGTTTCGCGGCCTTATGAACAGATCGTGTAATATCTGTTCTGCTCTTATCACTACCAGGATAGAGGTTTTGCACAAGGGCTTAAAAAAAAAAAAAAAAAAAAAAAGAAGAAGAAGAAGAAGAAGTATCTGTTTCGATATCTGATCTGTGGTCCATCAGACCACAACTTTGGTACAGAGTCTTAAAAACAGTTTGAAGTTGGTAAATTACACTTTGGGCATTCCCCCGAACATAACACACCCCCACGTAAACCTACCTGACCGGAAAGGTAGCTTGTATACATTGCACAAAGTGCAATTTGAAACTGTTTTTTGCCCAAAGTGTATTTTCAAACTCTTTTTGGTGACGCCTGTGTAGTTCGACTGAGTGTGCGTGATTGTCAAGTCCGTGGTGTGGTGTGCGTTGGGTGTGTGGTGTTGAGTTCAAGGACGCTGCAGCCCTGGAGGTGGGCTGGATATCATGACCGGTATGGATCCGGTTTTTATAACACCTCCAAGGGTTGTAGTGGTTACGATACTTTGTTCCTGTGGCGGAGGGTGCCGGTTCGAGGCCGTCTGTGCACGGCAGGGTCTGATGCCCTAAACACACATTGCTCAGAATCCCGCCTAGTTTCCCGAAAAAAAAACAATCATTACGTGCAATCAATGAGGGGTTTAAAATGATAGAAAGAAGAGCAACAAATAAATATAGATCTCAATTATTGTGTACTAGCAAGTACCGTCGCTCCAATACAACGCCCGGGTTATTATTGCTGTACCTAGACTGAAAGTTGAACCACATACGGCTATAATGACAGGGCATTCTCTTCGGGTGAAGACGGTAGCCGCAAGAGCAACGGAAAACTTACAGACACTGTGAGCCGCTCCTGTGTTACTTTTTCTGATATATCGTCAAACAGAGATATATATATATAAACCTGTCGCACGTCAATGTTGCCAGTCGTATCCTCCTGCTAATGGGACCGAGTCACAGGAGGCCAATAGCCTAATACACACTTCTCTTTTTTTGTTGTTTTTCTTGGTGTTCATAACAACCTCATATGTGGGTCCTAGCCACACCACTTATGAAACAGAAAACAAATTTAGTGCATCTTCCTGCAGAAAGTGGCTGGAATCCGCTGGATTCATCGGAATTTCATCCATTACTATTTATAGCAATGGATTTTGTTTCATAATTGCTGTGGGAAGATGCATTTGCATTGTTTTTCGGTTGACGAGTTGTGTGACAATGCCCATACTTATGCTTGTGTATTTGTGTTTAGGATTGGGCAACCATGTACTGCTCCAGGCAGTGTGTGCCTTGTTAAAAAGTAATTAAAAGTTATTAAAAACCCAAAAAAAATAAAAAAAAATTGTTTGGTTTTCATTACTTTTTCACTAGGCACACTGCCTGGAACAATACATGGTTGCCAAAAAAAAAAAAAAAAAGAAGAAAAAGGTAGTGAAAACTGTGAGAACGAAAAAGGAAGTTAGGAACTGCATCATCCGAATAATGGATTTTTTATTTTGTTTTTTTTCTTTTTTGTTTTTTTTATGCTCTTTTTTTTCTTTTCTTTCTGGTCAGGTAGGGTTAAACCACCAGAGTATGTTTCCCAGCCACTTTTTCTCCGATGCGGCTGCGTGCATGCTGCAACTTCTGGGGGAGGTTGGCTGGCGGCACCAGCCAAAAAAAATAAGGCCCGTGTTGCGTCGTTTGTTTTTGGAGAGCAGCGCATTGCAAGCCCCTGGAAAAAAAGTGGCTCAGAAGTACTGACTGGTGGTTTAACAAAAAAAAAAAAAAATGCTTGATCTGAATATTAGTGAATATTGGATTTCGATTCTCGAATTATTTCATGGTTAGCAAACAAAAAAAAGGAACTGCATGATTTGGTAGCAAGTAACCTGCCCTGGACTTTTCCAGGTTTAGTTTTTGTTTTTTGTTTTCAACTTTTTCTTGTTTTTTTAGCACACGAGACCCCTTCCTCCAGACCTCAACAGCCTCCCTGCCAACCTCACCTGAATGTCTGCATGTTATCTGTATATATCATCTATACGCCTTCTCTGTATGTAGTCTGTAGACTAGGCAGGCTACTGATGCATGTGATTCGTGCCGTAGTCTACAGGCCTAGCTATACCCTAGGGTAGGATATTCGTAGTGGATACCCTAGGGTAGGGTAGGGTAGGGTAGGGTAGGGTAGGGTAGTGGATACCCTAGGTATACCCTGGCTACAGGCCATTTGGGCTGCACACAGATATAATCTCAAACTGTATGTGATCTCTGTCTGAAGTCTGTTAGTGTACAGCCCAAATGGCCTGTAGCTAGGGTATATGTAGGGTATACACCCTCCCCTCCCCTCCCCTACCCTACCCTACCCTACCCTATGCATACCCTAGCTACAGGCCACTTGCGCTGCAGACAGGTGTCTTTTTTTTACCTAAAAGGGCGACGGCCTTGAGACATCGCCATTGAACTGACTGGCCCCTGGTAATTCAGAATGATTTTTTACTCTGGTCATCTGATTGTATCCGGATTTGAATTTGGGTCTGTATTTCAACAGTCGGTGGGTGTACCAACTGAGCTAGGCTGGTTGGTGTATGTTCGCAATCTCTATGTGATCTCTGTATGGAGTTTGTACCTTTGTAGGCTATGCAGGCTACAGGAATGTGTAATGTATAGCCCCCACAGGCCAAGCGGGCCGCAGAGTCATATCAATCTGTGGTTTCTGAACCTATGTGCATCATTGCCTGGGTTCGATGATCTATCCTTCTTGTGAGAACTCCACAGCTGACCAATCCCCCTACTCCATCCACCCTCCTAGCCCTGCCCCCGTGCCCCCATCTGCTCCTGCTCACTAGACCTAGAACTGTTTGTCGGTCACTCAGTCTGTTAGTCAGTCTGTCAGTCGGTCAACCATGCTTTCAATCTGTCAGTCAATGAATTGCAATTATGTGTGTGTTTGGTGTGTGTGTGTGTGTGTGTGTGTGTGTGTGTGTGTGTGTGTGCTCCCTAGGGTTGGTCATACTCACCGTCCATCTCTCCCCTCCATTCCCCCTCTTGTAGGACAGGATTCCCCCCTCTGTATCTGGTCCTCAAAGTCTGGCCAAGGAAAGTCCCCACTTAAACCACCCGTACCTCCTGAAAGTGCTCCGTGTTAACGGGCATGGATTTTGGGATGAACGGGCCTGGGCCGGTAGGCCCGATTCAGCCAAGTGGAAACGGTGCGATTTCCACTTTTGGCTGGCCGTTAACGCAGAGCACTTTCAGGAGGTACTGGTGGTTTAATCTGGAGTGCCAGGTTGGGGGGCAAGTACTTGGGGTGTCGTGCTGTACGAGTAACCAACATGCGCACAGGAGGTCGGGGCAGAATTGAACCTTAAACCACCACTACCTTTCCCAGTTATTTTTTCAGAGGCGCGTCGGGTAATGAGCTGGCCTGAAACGGAAGGGCGGCCACCGATAAATCGAATCGGGGGTCACTCTTGATTTCCGGGCCAGCCTGCAGTGCCCGCTGCCGACATATGGGAAAGGTACTGGTGGTTTAAACCTCCCTCCCACTTGCAATGTCGGACGTCTCAGCAACTCATCACCCGAGCTACCGGGCTTACCTCTGCAAGAAATACGACCTATTGGCCCTATTGCTTTCCATTTGGATAGTTGAGTCAGTGCGTTGTTTGTTTTTGCCAATCTTGTTCTATTTGCTGCAGGTGAACATCCAATATCCCAAAGAAAAGCCCGTTTTCATGCCTCGGATCTTCTCTTTGAACGAGAGATGAGCGGAAGCCTAACATGCTGGTCGCAGGAAATTGGACAATCGAGGAAACGGTGGGCGTCACTTTGCCAAGGTAGGTTGGCATTCTCCTCCTCTCCTCAGTCTACTGCACTTTCTGCACTGTTCCTAGTACTTCCTACCTTTTCACTGCCATCATTATTCTTCCCCTAGCTGTCCTACTATTCCCCTTTTCCTTGCTCCTGTCATGGGAAATGGATGACCTCTTCTGCTGAAATGTGCTACCCAGTGTACCCACTCAGTTCATGTTTGCTGAATGTTGCATACCTATGATTGTTAATAAATAACGAGGCCGGTACAGTAGTGGAAAAAAATAAAAGAAAAGAACCTGGTACAGTCGTAGCCAACTTTGCCGACATCTACCTCAGAGGCTTCTTGCTGAAGATGTCGGCAAGGAGGAAGACAAGGAAGAGTGTTCAAAAGATCTTGCTGCCAAGGCCAACACGTGCTGGGAACCGGGCCCAGCGTCCCTTGTGAAAGGCAAAAGAGCAATTTGAAGTACCGGGCCATTACCCAGCTGTGGCTGAGAACAGTCAAGAAAATTCAGAAAAATCATGAACAACTTCTAACCTCAGATCGCCAAATACCAACTTCTGAGTGATGACACCAATAGACCAAAAACCGAAGCCAACAATGGCGGTCATGTTCTGGAAACCAGGCCTCTACCAGGCCTCGGGCCCCCGACATGCTAAGTTACCGAAGCCAACAATGGCGGTCATGTTCTGGAAACCAGGCCTCTACCAGGCCTCGGGCCCCCGACATGCTAAGTTACGGGGCAGCACGACCCACCCCAGCTTTGGTCAGCGTTGTCCTAGCAAAATTCCCCCGGTTAGCTACTGGAATGCCGTCCACCCTCGACGATTCCCCAGGTCTCTCTACGAGGCCTCACGCTTCTGCAAGCAACAGGTAACAGGGCAACGCCCCAGCTCCGGTCAGCGTCGTTCTGGAATCGGCCTCCAAACCGCCCAGCCCCAGTACGGCCCGGGATGAGCTACGCCCACCCTGCCTGTGGCCGGTCTACCACTGTGTATTCGATGGAAATCTTCTCAGATCGCCATGCAAAGGGTAATGGCTGTTGTGGTTCGAATTGCCGCTTCACCGTATGTGAAGCGGTTAACCGGCCTATTTTTACCGAGGCAGGTCACCCGTCCAACAGGGGAAGGGCAGCATTTGTGCAAGGAATGAGCCCCTCGCAAAGCCTTCAGGCCCCAGCAGCAGAGACCTTGGGGGCCCCCAGCAAGCCTCGTGCCTGCCCTAAGTGAAGGCGGGCCTGCTTTTTCCCTTGTGGCCTTTTTGAGGCCAATTCTGAACTTGGGGGCGCCAGACAGTTACCACACGCCATTTGGTCGAAGGGCCCAGAATGCTGTGTGACCAAGGACTCGTGAGCCTCCCAGGCTCTTCCAAGCAGCGGCGATGTGGCTCCAGGCCTTTCAGCCAATCAGAGAGCAGCGAGTGACGAGAGCCACGTTGGACAGTTGGGTGTGGCCTAACTGTTCTGGTCCCAGGCCGCTATCTGAATGGGCCTGGGCGCAGACACTTTGGCCCGACGTCAAGCTACTGGGAACTTGACACGCAGGCCGAGGCTGCTCGAAGCAGGGCAGCACATTCCATATAGGAATGTGCCCTGCGCCCAGGCAGCCATTCTGGCGAGCGGCCACTGAGCGACAGCACTGCCACTTTGTGCGCTGGAGGTCGCCAGGGCGCTGTGAGCAAGGGTGCACATGGGCGCCAGTGAAGTGAGGGGCACTGCTGGGCAGGGGGCGCAAGGGGCCATAGTCGTGCCTGCTTGCAGTGATGCTAGTGATGGTGATGGTGGTCTTCGGGAAGGGGACGCACACTGTGGGTGAGAAGGAGATGAGGGGAGAGAGAGGAGAGACACGTACCTGATGTATGTCGCAGTCTGCATGGGCGACCTCGTCACATACATGGGCCTTTGGCTGGAAGTGATACCTGTTGCATGTTGTAGCTGTAGGCTACCGTCTTCACCCGAATAGAACGCCCGGTCATTATAGCCGTACCTGGACTGAAAATTGCACCAGATACGGCTATAATGACCGGGCGTTCTATTC